TATGTGAAAAAAAATTTCGTGAGATAAAATGGCTATCCAACTTAAATGGTGGTAAGGATACACTCACAAAGAAAGGATATTGCTCCACGCCCATACGTCCTGTAACCAAGACCATCGGCAAATTGTTGTATTGTTAATATGTTTTATGTTTTAAATAGCCGTGGTAGCTCAGTGGTTAACGTAACATAACGTAAATTAACGTAAATATAACAGAACGCGAGTAACCCGGGTTCGATCCCCGCCGGCACCAATGAAATTGTTAATTGCAATTTTAAGTGCTGATTTACCACGTGCTCGGCGGTGAAGGAAAACATCGTGAGGAAACCTGCATGTCTGAGGAACAAGAAAAAAATTTATTTTCGAAGACATGTGAAGTTCGTCAACACGCATTTGGGCAGCGCGGCGGACACTTCCTAGCCCTAAACCCTCTCAGAAACGAGGGGAGGCCTGAGCCCAGCAGTGGGACGTATATAGGCTGTAACTTTACTTTACTTTTACTTTATGTTTTAAATATATAGATTGATTTGACCATCACATGAAAACACAATGTATCTCACAAGTAATACATATTATATTAAATTAGATTGCTTAGCGCGATTGCCAAGTCTATCTATATATTTAAAACATAAAAGATTTTTAACATTGATATGGTCACTATAAAATATTGTTAGGTTAGCTAATTACGTAATAACTTAAAACAGAAGGACCTTTAAGTAGGAACTGAATAAATTAACTGACTTAGTATTACATGGATCTCACAACTTTTTACGGTAGAAGAACTGAGTTGCGAGACTTGTTTTTTTTATAAGTTATGTTTTTGATGGCATCTCATTTCTTTTTGTAGATAAGATAGTCCTACTTTTTTACCTTTCCGGTACCTTCTAGTTCTTGAATACCAACAACGTACCTATCTACACCCGTTATACATATGCAAGTACACTGATTCATTCACTGCAAATGTAACTTTGTAATTCTATATATTTATATGGTATTACAAAGTTATTTATGCAGTTGGTGTATCTAGAAAACTGGACAAATATTTTAGTTTTTCTTTGATTCATACACTAAACACTAATTGTATTTCAAATTTGAAGCTTCTATGTCTGTTAGAAGTGCCTTAGAGTTTTGATAATCGGTAAAAAAAAACTTTGACTAGTTATAACTCTAGCTATAACTCTACCGGTTCAAATTGAATAAAATTTGAAACATACCATGTTTATATAATGCCTACTCGGTATAGAAAATTTAGGCTTCTAGTTTTATTGACTACGAAGTTATAGGGGGTCGAAAATGGCCTGAATTGCTTCGAGAAAAGTATGGTACGGTCGTGCCGCTTTTTATCTCGTCTTGGCGGGGGCACTGCCGTGCCTCCAGATTTCATAAAAACTATTTAGATTTTGAAGTTATAATAGAACTACTAATATATTATGGTTTTTATCATTTAGTATGATTTTTAAGAAACTGACAAACAATATCCTGAAATATTTAACTATTTCAGTACCATCCTCCAAACAAATCCACCAGCAGAGCCGTAAATCACGCAAAATAAACTTTCCATTGTATATGTGTAACAAAAAGAATATAGTCACTATGCTTAAGAGGTCGCGCCTCACTTAGTAAAAGTAATGTGTTTAAGGTATGAAAGAGCGCCAAACTACTCTACTAGCATCAAAACATGACATTTATTTTTTGATTAACAGTGCTGACAACATAGGCGAATTGTACTAATGCTGAATGTCTATCCTCAATCATTACTTAAACAAAGTGTAAATGCGTGTACAAAGAACATTACATTTCGTAAAATATAATCAAATGATATTGTAAAATATTTGAAGACTATTGATATTAAGAAAACAGCAGATCTGTGGGGGATTTCTAGACTAAGTTATTGCGTCTATAATAGATACAATCGCACCTCAACTAGCTATATATTATTTTTAATACTAGTATCGAATCTGGTCTGTTTCTTGATTTAATGAAGCATAGCAAAGTAATACCTTTATTTAAATCTGGTAGTACATTTGACCCCGCCAATTGTAGACCTATTTCTGTACTTCCAACATTACTTGATCAAATGTTAATTTTTTTTTAATGTAAATAATTTACTTCATAAAAATCAATTTGGTTTCACAAGGGGTCGCTCTACAACTGATCACCAGCATAAATATAAATAAAATATATAAAGCAATAATAAAAAGAACCAGTGGTAAATGAAAAAAGTGACTTTCAATAAGTATTGTTTTCAATCTATATTGAGTAAAGAAGTTTCTGTTTCTGTTTCAAGTAATTTTATCGATTTAATGCTTATTGATATATTGTTTATCGTAATTTTTATATAATAAATGTTAGATTTCGATACTGATTACATAATAAATAAAAGTTTTTACGTGGGGATTGAGTAAAAATGCCGAAGAGGATAAGAAATCAATGTATTTTACACACACACAGCAATTTGTAATTACATCTCTACAATTATTAGGTACAAAAATTTGTATAAAATAAACAACGCATAATTATACTAGTAATTAATTAAGAAAAATAAATGACTACTTCGTAGCGCAGTAGTTAAGCGTTTGGCTGCAGCACTGCAGGACCGTGGATTCGTTCCCGCGCTGAACAAGTGTTTCCATGCTGTATAATGAATAGTCTGCGTCTGGATGCTTGTTTTTAGCATTAGCTTTTTTTTAAAGGGTAAATATATTAGTTTTCTTTAACATATATTGGATTAACTTGCTTTTAAGTGTAACAAATATCTACACTACGAAAGACACACCATCGACGATAATACGACACGTGTTTCGCCTCTACACGAGGCATCCTCAGGTGATGTAGACTCTACGGCGGCTGACCTCTCTTACCGGTCTCTAAGTAACGCCTGATTCTATTAATTAAGCTATACTTCTTCTATATTCGTAACATTTTTAATTATAACATCTGTATCTAGTCTGCAATATTGCTTTCTTTAAATAAAACTTTTATAATTCATGCAGTAACAATAAGTGTTTTTAATATTAACTATCGAAAACTCGTAAGTGCTCTTTTAATTAGAAGTAAGCCACACACTTTTCTAAACCATAATTAGAAAAATTTAACATTATTCTAACTACCTATTTAAAATCGAGTATGACCCCATTCATTAGGTATTGTAGGTTTTTTTTTAATTATCCTTTTAGGAAATAAGAAAAAGGAATGGTGATCGACTGTTTTTATTCTACTTTCTGTTTGCACTTTATACGAAATAAAATCAAAATGTGATTCAGATAAAAATATATGCAATATTGAATAAAACTATTATTTACGCGAATTTTACCGCGTTTAATTACTTTAATTTATTTTTATTATTATCCCGACGTTTCGGGTGCTTTACAGCAAAAAAAATTAACATAATCCGTAAATAATAGTTTTATTCAATGTGTAGTGTTCGCGTAAATTTAAGAAATTATTATATGCAACAGTTCATTAATAATTCAAAAGATCGATTACAATTGATTGGGCGTCCCTAGTCATTTTTACACACCATGTGACGTTTGGCGAAGATGACAGCTATGGAGTGTAGAGGTAAGAAGTACAGACTGTGTATTAAAAAGTGTCCGTAGAAAACCGTTAAATAAGGGTGGCGCCACTATAGCTACGGGGTAAATTTTAAAGAACGCGCAGAAAAATATTAGTGGGATAGACAACTTTTTCGAGGTTATATTAACTAAATAAAATTATTTTACATTTTAGACCAACTGAGCAGTTTAGCGGCACTCTTTACACCGTCGTCAACTGCTAAGTTCATTTCATGTAGCTGTTGCCTGTAGCTACTCCAGTGCTGTTATAGAGAGTTTTTGAACTTTCATTTATTGCTTCCAGATGGGCGCTTTTTCAACTATTCTCCTATGATGCTCTCCTTACCTCTATACTCCACAGCGCTTAATGCTAATAGTCGAATAGAATACTTTTTTTATGTTAAATGTTAAATTTTATGATAAATTAAATTTTGGCATGCAGCTATTTCGTGTTATAAAAGTATTTGTAACTAATATAGTAAAAGAGATAAATAATTATCGTACTCGTACGTATCCGACGGTTTTCTTGCACAGGGCGATTTTGAACATTGTCCTTTGGTAGGTAAGGTTTGGTAGGTAATACATATTCTCGAACTTTACAAAATCCGCCTCTATTCACCCTTGAAATGGGAATCGATTAAAATTTCTATTTAGTCTTGAGATTAAAAACTAAGAAACTGTGTTGCAGTGTTTTTGACAGCTAGACCCTTTGGGAAGAGGGGGGGAGTGAAATTCAATTGAAATTCTGCCCTGTTTTAACTATATCTTCGAAAACGCTATTATAAGCTTTTAATTAGAAACTTAGTAACACGTATACAAGGATTTTTGAATACTCCATTAAATATAAGTAAATCAGGAGATGAAAGCTATTATAAATGTTTTGAAATTCTTGATGCGGTTTTCAATTAATATATTTCTTATTTTTATTACAAGAGAATTGAAGAGAATTGATTCAATACACATCAAAGACAATAAAATAAATAAATAAAAAAGTACGAGTACAATAATAGGTGATCTTATCTCTTTGGAAGCAATTTCTTCCAGACAGTCTTATTGCGTAAAGTGTTTCGCAACGAATAAAAGGCGTGATATACATTAATTCTACAATTAAGTTAAAAAATAAAATTATATTAAAATCACAAGATGATGACATGAAGTATGATGAGAATTATAAGAGTGCCAATTAATGAGGTTAGATTTTGAAAGAAAAAACGACTGAGCACGGCAAATATGTAGAGTGAAGGAGTTCAAGAAGTAGAAGAAGGAGGATGAATGTACGAGAAAGGGATATTTTAGTGTAAATTTGTAGTGTAGTTGAAATTTACAGTTTGCTTAGACTTAGAGTTATAAAAGTATAAGAGATAAGATAGAGAACTTAGAGTTGGCTCGATAGGGTGTAATCGATCGGACGTGTGGATAGAACAAAAAAATCCTTATACCGACATTACAATGAATAATTGTGATCGTTGTGAAAAACTGATAGCTAAAAGAACACCTGGATTAGAATGCAGGAAATGCGAAAAAATTGTGCACGCGACCCAGGCCTGTACTAATCTTTCGACTAATCAGATCGCAGCATTACGCAACGCAGATAGCCTGGAATGGACATGCAAGGATTGTCAACGTTTCACACCGGTAAGAAAATCGTATATTATACCAAAAGAAGAAGAAAAAGTAGAACAAAATGAACAAACTCAAGATCATTCGTATTCTAAGCCATCAATAGACATTAAAAAGTTGCTGAAGGATATTTCGAAGGAAGTTGGAGTCACTATAAAGCGCGAATTGGAGCCAATCGAATCTTCTATAAGTTACTGTCACGACAAACTAGATGAGGTGCTCGACAATGTAAAACGTAGAATTATAGAACGAGAAACTAAAAATATAACATTAAACAACAAAAATAATAATTTTGAAATAAGAATAAGTGTTTTAGAACAAAAAATAGGAGAATTGGAACAAAAACAATACAGTAACAAAATTGAACTAACTGGTATATCGGGTATAGATAACATTTATCATCATCAAGTAACTAAAATATTAGCATCCAAATTAGATATGGATGCAAATTCAGTTAAAAGCATAAAACAGACAGAAGAAAGAAAAGGAAATAATGGATATCTGCTACTAGAACTAAGTGATGAAACAGGGAGTGAGAAATAGATCTAAGCTGCAGAAATGAAGATGTTAAAAATTAATGATATTCTTCCGAATGCGCCAATGATATGTAATAGTGGTGATATGAGGTCCACTATCAACAGACTCCGAGTGGTCTAGTGGCGGAGAAATGAAACTACTATTTTATATGCAAACGAATGGTGTATCGAGTATGGAATATGGAATACATTTTTACGTCAACCCTGCCTATATTTATATGTCCGGCTACGTCGCTAGTTTACTTATAAAAACAATTTTTATTTGCCTAGCCAATTACAATTCTTACATTATGACCAATAAAGATTAATCAAAATACAACTATTATGTGCGTTCCATTTGCCGGCGTGAGACTCGTGTATATCTTCTCGTAGCTAGATCGCTGGACTGGGCTATAAAAATTGTGCAGGCCGGTGCGCGCGTAGTCTGCGAGCGGCGGCAGCGTGGGACACAGTTCCGGAACAGCAAGAAGAAGCGAAGCTGCGGCGTTGAAGAAACGGCTCAAAAATGGTCGACGGATACATAACGATAGCGGCGTGTGAAGACGATGTGGCGCTGAATGATATTTGCGGCTTTTTCTTGTTTCTTTATTAGAACGTTAAATATATACGTCAAATTATCTCGCATCGATATGCAGCCCGCAGTATCTCAGTAGCCGGGGATAATTAGGAAATAAATGTATTCTTCGCCTTCTGTGTTATGGTAGCAGCAGGGTATATATTATTTAGGGTTGATTAGCCTGGCTGCTACAGATATATGATGAGGGTAACGATAAAATTATGTTAAGACGCGCACTCACAAAGGCATATAAGATAATCTTGTGGAATGCAAAAAAACAATTAGGTTTCGAATACAAGTACATAGTGTTTAAAAATGGAAACATTTTCGCGTGAAAAGGAGACAAAGACAAGATCATAACCATTAGGTGCTTCGAAGACATCCAAAAACTGGCAAAAAAAAAAAACACTATTTAGTCCCAAAATACAGAAGAAACCGAAGTAGTTAGTTAAGGGTAAAACTCATCATAATTATTCTTATAAGTTATAATAACAACAAACATAATGTATTCTCTCACGAACGTCTCAGAAATAAACGACTGTATTAATTTAAATGATTTCTACAAACTTATACCTAAAGGTAAACAAAGTTTATTTTATTCATATAACCTAAATCTATCAAAAAAACTTTGCAATCTAAAGGAATGTATCAATTCTAAAATAATTTATATTGCCATAAAGAAGCCAACATATCTAATAACCTACATCATTCATATTGGTATAAATCATAGTATCTTAACTGGGGATAATTATTTATTTACGTAAGAACCATAAGTTTGAAATTATAAATATCAAAACATTACACTTTGAATCACTCATAAGCAAAATCACCACCCAAAATAATTTGCAAACATTCCATCTTTGTATAATATATAGACCACCGAATGAAAACAAACACTTGTTTATTGAGGAGTTGTGTCACATATTAAAAGATAATTTCGCTAAAAAACATAACTTAATCATATTGGGTGATATAAATATCAACATTAAAGATATTACACCTATTCAGGAATATTAGTAAAATGGCCGAGTGCGGTCTAACGTGTGCGGTAATAGTAGATACACTAGAATAGAAAAAAGAAAAGAACATAAAACAACATAAACACTCACGCCTGTCACCCAGAGGGGTAGGCAGAGACTACAGACTTCCATTTGGCACGATCCTGACACACCTCTCTCGCCTCCTTCACATCCACACACCTACGCATACATGCTCGTCGGTTAAGGGTACTCCTAATTTGGCCCGTTTTTTTCTTTTTTCAATAAATCGCCAATGGCGATTTATTGAAAAAAGAAAAGACAAAATAACTAAAAGTTGTATAGATCATATCTTTGTGTGATCGCGTACGTTAGACCTGTACTCTGGCGCTATTGGTACTGTATTAGCCGATCATCGCATGACCGTGCTAACATGTGTTTTACATGTGTCGTACATACGGGCTGAATTTGAAAATATTATTTTATATGAAAACAAAAACTTCATAGAATGCTGAATGAAATAGACTGGTCACCGGTTAATAATATGCAATGTCCTATTAATATAAACAATTTTATAAAAACAAATTTTATGGAATGCTACAGTAAATGTCAATTAATAAAAAAAAAACAAAGTAGCAAACGAAATAAAGATAATTGGATAAATGAAGACATCATTAATATGTGTAAAATTAGAGATAATTTGTTTACTAAATGGAAAAATGACTCAAATAATTAACTTCTAAGACTAGAGATAATAGATAATATAAAGATAGAAAAAAAAACAATTAAATTTATTGAAAAAACTAGAAATAATTACTATTTTTAAAAAATCAATAACAATATGTCTAATCCAAGATATACTTGGAAAATTGTAAACAAACTTTGTGGCAAAGTTACCGAAACACTATATGAATCGTTAAATAAAGCATTTAACTTTAAAAGTAAAAATAGTAAAACGATTGCTGATAATTTTGCTACTAAGTTCGATAGAAACTTAAAAATATAATACCAAAATGTACCATTAAAATGCTATCAGATTATTTGTACACAAATCCAGTAGATAAGTCTATACGGTTTCAAAACGCTAACACAAAGCAAATAAAAAATATAATAAAAACACTTAACACAAAAAAGGCACCAGGTGCTGATAAAATTCGTACAATTGACATAAAGGCCATATCAGAAAAAATTGCTAAAGTAATTGTCAAGTTAATTAATAGTAGTATAGAAACAGGTATTTATCCTACAGATCTAAAGCTACGTTTGGTACGGCCTATTTACAAAAGTGGACGTCATAGTGGCCTATTACTATACTTCCAACAATTGACAAAATTATAGAAAAATTCATTTCGAACCAGCTTCACAACTTTTATCAAAAACATAAAATTATTTCGGCATCTCAATACGGATTTCAGCCTCAGAAATCTACTATACAGTTCAACAGTCAAACTTAACAGACGAAGTAAACAAATGCTTAGATGAGAAAAAACATTTTTTTTTTTAGTAAAGCCTTCGATACCTTGAAACATAACATTCTTATAAGAAAACTCGAAAACTCTGGTGTTAGAGGACGCTTCTTAAGATGGTGTAAAGAATATTTTAGCAATCGATATTTCCAAGTAAAGATAGAAAATAATTAGAGTATTGAAATGCCTATGACTACAGGTACGGCACAAGGCTCAGTTATAGGGCCACTCCATTACTTAACATACGTAAATGAATTAGAAAATACCATTAAAAAATACAAAACCCTCTGTCAAAATAAAAATTATATCGACATGAATAAATTACAAGATGATTTTTCACGCCTCTCTATGTGGGCTCACGATCTAGGACTTGTAATAAATATACAAAAAACTAAGGTACTACACATTCATTCTAGTCATATCAAGAATATTATGCCAGTAAGCATTACTGCTCATAATCATCTTTGTCTGCACAATATAATAACTTGTTCCTGCGAAAAAATCCCACTTCTTAAGTATCACACATACTTAGGACTGATTATAGATAATAGAATGAACTGGAAGAATCATATTGATTACGTGTGCAGTAAATTAAGGGCAATCTTAGCGAAATTTCATATTACCCGTAATAAAGTTCCATTTAAAATTCGTCTAAGCCTATATAATGCTCTAGTGGAATCGATAGTATCATATGGTCTTAGTAGTTATGGACGAACTTTCCGCACTTACCTAGATAATATATACAGCTTAAAAATAAGAATGTTAAAATCTATATTTCCTCAACACATTAAGGACAAATATCGAAATGATTACTCATACCTTTTCACGTACTGCAAAGTTTTACCCATACATAAAAACGTGAAATATATGCTTTTAAAAGAATGTTATGAATACTCGATGTACCCAACCCCAGGGGAACGCATTTATAGCACTAGAAAAAAAACACCTTATTCATCAATTAGATTCTAGATAGATTAGAGACACTAATTCATTGCTGTGCAGATGACAGCACTGGTGATGCTCTTTACACCGGCCGAGCTGATATTTCTCGGTAAAACGTCTCCGAGTGCCGGGACAAACTTGTGTCTGAAGTAGAGTCTTTACTGAACAGAGTCTCGGATTGGGGGCGACTAAATCTAGTCCAGTTGAACCCCCAGAGACACAAGTTTGTGCGTTAACCGCTAAAAAGAACCCATTTGTCGTATCTCCTCAGTTTCAAGGCACTCCCCTTGTTGCCTCAGCCAGTATCGGAATCCTCGGCGTCGACATATCGAGTGACGTGCAGTTTCGTGGTCACTTGGAAGAGAAGGCCAAATTGGCCTCTAAAAAGCTCGGCGTGCTCAGCAGAGCGGGACTGTATTTCATGCCGGCACACCGCCTGCAACTTTACAAGGCGCAGGTTCGGCCGCACATGGAATACTGTTCTCTGGGCTGAGGCTCCCCAGTACCAACTCCTTCCACTTGACCGCATCCAGCGCAGAGCGGCTCGAATCGTCGACGACCGAGTGCTTTCCGATCGGCTCGATTCACTGGCACTGCGAAGAGATGTTTCATCTCTTTGCATTTTATTTCGCATATACCATGGAGAGTGCTCTGAGGAATTGTTCGGATTAATCCCAGCCGCCAAATTTCGTGAACGCACTACGCGGCAAACGTCCCGATACCATCCACACCATCTGGATGCTTGGCAGTCCACCACAGTAAGTTTCAAAAGGAGTTTTCTTCCGCGTACAACCTCTCTGTGGAATAGTTTACCACCGGCGATTTTTCCGGACCGATACGACCTGCGGACCTACAAGAAAAGAGCTTACTCCTTTCTAAAGGGCCGGCAACGCACCTGCAATTCCCCTGGTGTTGCGGTTGATCATGGGCGGCGGTAGTCACTTAACATCAGTGAGCCCCATGCTCGTTTGCCCCCTCTTCTATAAAAAAACTAATAATTACTACGGTAAAAGAACACGTAAATTTCTAATACCATACATATTAAATTCTATACCTACGGAGATAA